ATAATCAATAACTTCTAAAACTTATGCATACCCAACACCTAATGACTGACTTAAATCCTAATACCTTTCTATTCTGTGCTAATTTTACCTGCACTATAAAAAAAACTCTTAATTATAGCTCAAACCAGTTCCTAAAGAATGTGGCCCAGTCCAAAGATAACGCTGGGCCATTTCCAGGAACAATTGATTATAATCTCTTAACAAAATGACTATTCTAAAATCCTATGTATCTATCTTAATTTCTATAAAAGTTTCTAATTCCTAATCCTAATATATAAAGCTGATCATCAGCAATAAAGCTTCTAAAATAAAACCCAAATACAAACTGTAATTGTACTAAAGCCAAAACGGCAATTAGTAGAAAGTGGGAACAATGAAATTTCTAAAGTTAGCTGTATTCTTATAAAACCTCAAAGTATCATGTTTGATCATGCTTGAACTAACATAATTCCCTGACGTAGCATGACCTATTCTACAGTACTTTCTATGAATAAAATAAATTCGACTTCTATAATAAGTAGAAAAAACCTACACTTATTGTAACTAAAAAACCGGTTTAAAAGAATGCAGCCCAGCCCAAAGTGGACGCTGGGCCCTTAGGAATGTGGCCCAGTCCAAAGTTCATGCTGGGCCATTTCTGGTAACTCTAGATAATCATCTATACCATCTAAAGCTGGAAACAGCTCTCTAAATGTGTATACTAATTCTACAAATATACTTTTAAATCTTATAAAGAAGCTTGTATCATATATAAGGCTCCCAAATGTGACCTGAGTTTGAACTGTGTTAAGTTTAAAGCCGAAACCGCAGTCTGTGAGAAATGGGAACAATGGATCCCTAGAGTCAGCCATGCCTGTCATATTCTCAGAACTTCATGCTTAGATCATCAAAGTCCCTGCTAGTGGGTTTTTGATGCCAAACAACAAAGAAGGGAGGAGGGAATGGGCCTTCAGCTCCTGAACCCAACTTGGTGGTCTCAGGGTCCGCAGCCCGCCTGGATCCCTAACGCTCAGGCGGGCCTCCTTGGCCGGCTCCCAACAGACAATGAATTAGGAAAGGGAGATTTTGTTCTTTATCTGTCTTAGAGGTGAGACAGTGACAGATTCAATGTGAGGCCTTGGCAGATTTGAAGACCCCTCACAACATTGAGGGTTTGAGATACCACCTCCCACAGAGGCCCTTCAAAGCTATATTGGGATCTGGGTGTGTGGGGGACAGTGCTTGGTTGGGAGAGAAACTTTCTCCTTTGATCCCCCTGTGCTGGAGCTGCCAGCTCTTAGACCCTTTCCTTCACACACTGGTCCACAGTCTGCAGGAAGTTGCAGAGGACACTCGTCATTGCTGTTTGGTATCATCCAACTCCTGCCATGATCCATTTCACCTCAATTCTCTGTGGGGAGTTCCCCCTGTCCCATGTGAATACTCTGGGCAAAAGAATGATGAATGCCAGGTGTCTGCTTCCCTCCAGTGAAGCTGTTGCCAGGCTGTTCCTACCAGAAGTTATTCTAGATGAGCTTGGTTCTCCTCGACTTCTCTCCATGCCGAATTTCAGCTTTCCTCCCTTCCTCCCTCTAGACTTTCCTTTAGACCTCCATATATACATATGTATATGTGTGTATATAGGGGGTGTCAAAAATGTATACATGTCTTAAGTATGACGTTTACTCAAAAGACAGCATGAATCAAATGAATGCCAGCATGACCATGCGACAGGCAGGATAGTCAAAGAAAATGGTGGTAGCATGGTTGAGTGAATGTCATACTACACATTACTACTATAATTCAATTCCACTTCAAAAAGTAATACATAGATAACATCTCTTAAAAGGTGTATACATTTTGTTGGCACCCCCGTGTATATACACCAACACACACACACACACATATATATATATATATATATACACATTTACATTTTTTACTTGTTCATCTTTTTATGTCTGTTTCATTCTTGGAATACACAAGGACAGGGGCTCTGTCTTACTTACTGTGGCTGTATCTGTAGTACTTGTACATTGTAGATGTTCAAGTACTCTGATTTACTTCTGAAGCACCTACTATTTTGCATATAGCAGGTGCTTCAGAAGTATGTGTTCAATGACTGTGCGTCTGGATGAACCAACATAGGCAGGCATAAACCTAGGTAAGTAGGTAAGAAAGTAGACATAAAGGCCCCGCCGGGTTTTGAAAGGCCAGGTGACAAGTGTGCATTCACACCTGTGGGTCTGCAAGGTTACACCTCCTCCATAGTTTCCTTGGTGGATTTATGAGAACTGTGGTAAGGAGTCCTCAGTGAGTTGATCAAGATCTCTAGGCACTAGACCTCACCTGCCCTTTCTAGGTCACCTACTGCAGCCTACCTTCCAGCCCCACACCCCTCAGAAGTTGGGGTAGGAGAGGCAGCCTAGAGGACATTTTTCTTGCCTTGTAGACAGCTGGTACTTTCAGCATAGTTTCCTCCTTACTGAGCAGAAGATTCTGGTATAACATTAGCTACTTCTGAGAAAATGTTGCAGTTGTGATGTTTTGGAAAAAAACTCATGATGGAGTTTTTTGATTTTTAGAAATATTACAGCTGAGATAGCATTTTGTTACTACTTTGAAATTGTATATGGTAGGTTTTCATTATCTATGCATTTCATTTAAAAACAAAAGGGGGCAGGTGAGGTCTGGTGCCTAGATTTTGGCTATGAAAAGGGGGCATAGATGGAGGGAAAAGATATATCCAAGCAGGATTGGAAGGAGGGGGTAAGGCAGGGCCTGGTGGAATCACTATGAGTTTGGAGTCCGATAGACCTGGCTTTGAATCTCTAGTTTTCACCTATGTGCCTCTGCTGACCTCATTTCTTTTTTCTTTCTTTTTTTTGAAGTCAGTGTCTTACTCTGCTACAAGGCAGTGGCATGATCACGGCTCACTGCAGCTTCGACCTCCTGGGTTCAGGCAATCCTTCTGCCTCAGCCTCCCAAGTAGCTGGAACTACAGGTGTGTAACACTATATCAGGCTAATTTTTTTTAATAGAGATAAGGTTTCACTACATTACTCAGGCTGGACTCAAACTCTTGGACTCGAGCAAATTCTCCTGCCTTGGACTCCCAAAATGCTGGGATTACAGGTGTGTGCCACTGTGCCCGGCCGACCACATTTCTTTTTCTTTTTTTTTTTGAGTTGGAGTCTCACTCTGCCGCCCAGGCTGGAGTGCAGTGGCCGCTCTGGGCCACCGCAGCCTCCACCTGCTGGGCTCTGGCGATCCTTCTGCCTCAGCCTTCCAAGCAGCTGGAACTACAGGTGCGTGCTTCCATACCCGGCTAATTTGTGATTTATTGTAGAGATGAGGTCTCGCCAAGTTGCCCAGGCAGGTCTCCAACCCGTGGGCTCAGGCAATCCACTCACCTCAGCCTCCCAAAGTGCCACATTTCTTAATTATTATTTATTCTTCTGTTTCCTCATCTGTGGAATGAAATAATAGAATTCACTAACAAGTGTGGTTGAAGGAGATAATATGTTGAAAGCATCAATCATGTATTAAGTTTAAAAAGAATTTGCAGTTGTTGAGGGGGATGAAGCAAATAAGAGGAAGAAAGGAGGGAGAAACGGGAAAAATGAGGAGAAAATAATGACACAATTGATCAAGACGGGGAATGAAAAGTGTCTCCTGTACCTGTTAAGGCCTGTGGGCACAGGACCCCACTGTGTCATGTAAGCTTATAGACAGCTGCTTAAGCCCATGTTTGCATGAGGGAAACTGGTGAGGAGGTGGTGAGGTTCTAGCGAAACAAAATCCATGTGACAATCACAAGCACATAGGTTATAATTCATAAAGCCACAAAAATCTCACATTTTCTGTTCTTCCTGCAGAGAGAGGAAAGTCTGAGTGGGAGGCAGGACCTGAAATCTAGTCCTGGCTTAGGTGATTCTGGGTAATTCACAGTGCTTTTCAGAGTCGCGTTGTCAGTAATTGAGAGGGTGGCCCCATTTCCTATGGGCACAGTGGAAATTTGTGAGAATGTTTATATCTTTTAAAATAGTCATTCCTGTACATCTGTGTATTGAAATTATACTTTATTTTGAATTGCTTTCCTTTGATTTTTAGAAATATTACAGCTGAGATAGCATTTTGTTACTACTTTGAAATTGTATGCAGTAGGTTTTCATTATCTGTGCATTTTATTTAAAAACAAAAGGAGGAATCACAAAATTTTGGCTATGAAAATGGGGCATTGGATCAGACAGGGTGAGAACCTTTGTGTTGACATGCCCTGTCTCTAAGACCCCACCCAGATCTAGCATTCCAGAATCCCAGGCAACGGGCACAGAGCTCAGGCCTTCCTCTCTTGTGGTCTCTGCTGACCCATGTCCCCCTGGTTTCCACTTACGGCTCAGAGAAGGACGCATCTCGGGGATCCTGGGAGAGGAGGTCACCAGGCACAAGGTTCTCAGCAAAGGTCTCCAGACCAGAGTCATCTCTCCAGGTCAGGAAGCGAATCCCTATGGAAGTAGCTTGGAGGTCGAGCTCTAACTGCTCACTGTCTTACTGGACTTTGAAATTAGGAGAGGGAGGAGGCTCTAGCGGGGGAATCCCGGAGTGGTGACTGCTCACGTGTTCAGGCTAATCCCAGAGCCGTCCACTGCTAGCAACAGTAGCTTAAAACAGGGAGAGAAAGGGAGGGTGAGGCAAAGCACGAAAGCGTGAAGGCAGCAGGGAGAAAGAGAGAGAAGGAAAGGAAAGAGAACAGAAGAGAAACTAGGCAGATAAAGCAAAGTCTACCTGGACTGATTTTGCTAGTTTTGTGTTCCTTCAGGGTTTTATCAGGATAAGCTTTTCTCTGCAGGGGGTTGCTGAAGGGTGTGAGAGAAGGATCAGGACATGGTGGAAGGGGTCAGAGACTGAGAAATGAGGGAAGTGAATAAGAGAGTGAGAAGGAAAACATGCATGAAGTGAACGAATTAAAAAAATCAGTTTTGGGGTCTAAGAGAGAGAGTAGAGGGAACAATGGGGAAGGAGGCATTCAAAGGGGAAGAAGAGGGCTCCAAATAACTAGGTAAGTTCTGGACATAACTGGACAGCCATAGTTTCTCTTAGGCGCCCCAAATAAGGCAAGAGGTCAAGAGTTAAAGACTCAGTATGCTTTATTCTTATTATATTTTTAATTTCTTAAATTCCCATTATTACTCCTGCTTCCCCCTTCCTCTGTGTGTGTGTATGTGTATGCTTTTGTAAGCACATACTCTTGTACTATGTGTATTGTTTGGAGTAAATATATTTTAATTTATGTAAATATGTGCAATATGTGTCTTTTTAAAGTTCACTTAGAAGCATGTTTGTAGCACCTAACCAGGTTGCTATGAGAACATCTCTTCCAGGTTTCTGGCTGTTTCAGAGTAGGAGTCGATGTGCTCTGCATGGCAATGCCTAAGGGGGACAGCGACAAGGGCAATTGGAACTAGGGAGTCAGGGGAGTGGAGTTGGGTGGATGCTGTTTATCTTGTGTCATCCTGTTGGAGGTACAACTGACCTGGCTTCATTCTTCACAGTCACCTGGGAAATAACCTTTTACCTGAATGCCCACAGGAGGCCAGGGCAATAGGTAAGCACAAAGAGGTTGCTAAATTCAGTGTCGATTGCCCCTTTTGTGTGGACTCTCAGTACCCAGCCCCATTATGCTTCGGGGCGGGAGTGAGTGATTGTGTGACCTGGCTGGTCAACCCAGGTCATTGAGGCCAGTGGACTCACAACCTCTCACCGGGGTGTACAGTCTGCCTGGGGAGAGAAAAATGTGAGTTCCTGAAGTCTGGCATATGCTCTTCAGCCTTACTGGGCCGTGGTCAATTTTTCTTTGTGAATGTCGCAGACTGCAGTCTCCCTTGACTTGAGATTCCTCTTGGGTTGTAAGATTAGAGATTGTTATGGTGAGAGGCACCCAACATCGGGAGCCACGTAGAAGAGAGAAGAAAAACAGTGCATTTTGACTAGTTTCTGGAGGGGGAGTGAGAGGTTATGCCTTCTCTATTTAAAAGAGAAAACAGTATTATGATTACCATAACACAATATGTGCTTTTGTTGAAACAAACGAATTCAAACCTAGAAAAGCTTTAAAGAAGCAAGTAAAAGGCCGGGCTTGGTGGCTCAGCATGTAATCCTGCGCCTTTGGGAGGCTGAGGTGAGTGGATTGCCTGAGCCCGCGAGTTCAAGACCCGCCTGGGCGGCAAGACCTCATCTCTACAATAAATCAAAAAATCAGCCGGGTGTGGTAGCACATGCCTGTAATTCCGGCTACTTGGAAGGCTGAGCCCAGCAGGTTGAGGCTGCGGTGGCTGGGAGCGGCCACTGCACTCCAGTCTGGGCGACAGAGTGAGATTCCAACTCAAAAAAAAAAGAAGAAAGTAAAAATTACATCGAATCTGGCCATTGTATTTTAGTCAACACTCCTTAGAAATCTTTCTGTACATGTGTATACCTGTGTGTATACAGGTTGTTTTTTTATAAACTTTAAGTCTCCATCTGTTTTATTTAGTAAGTCCATTTTGATGGATAGCTAGATATTCTCCAACATCCTAAGACAGAATTTTGTGCATTTGACTTATTATTTTTTTATTTGGATAGATTCATTGAAGTGGGATTCGTAGGTCAAAATGTATGCACCTTGAAAGATGAAACCAATTCAACTAATATTACCCTAAGCTGTTTTCCAAGATGTTCATTCTTTTGACCTCTGTAGAGTGATATGGTATCTACTGAATCTGAAAACTAGGATGAGGAGGAAACTTAGATTTCCTTTAGATCTTTATCCTCAGCCTTAGAGTCACTTGGAATATCAGTCTGAGATATTACTCTAGGCTTGCAGGCAAGTTCCAGTTAAACAGATGCTATCTCTGAGCTATAAGAGACTTTGAGAAATGTTTGCTCTTTGTCTCTTCTTTCTTCTTTGGGCAGATCAGGCATAGTTTTCTGCACTTTACATAAGACTGGAGAAGATAAGGAACTACCCCATTTTATATAAGTGGTAAATAGGAGAAGAAAGCATTTCATCTGGTAGAGTGATATTGAGATTTTTCAATATTTGGCAGCTGAAGAAACATGGAAATTCTATTGTCATATTAATACTTACAGAGGAGGATTTTTGCACACAGGTTCACTAGAGATTTATTATTTAAGTCCTGTGTGTAGCTGAACTTTGCCTTTTGCCCTTTGTTAGCAACAGAGCAGAGTCTAGTAAGTTAGAGAATAAATAACACCTTTTCTAAAGTAATCCTTTCCCTTTTCTAAGTCATTTGGTAGTTGTGGAATTGAAGGAAAGAAAAATATTTTTAAAAAGGATTTAAGATCAATTTACACAATTTACATGGAGCTTTATATTACAGGTATTTCATTTCATGGTTAAGGGACTAGGAAGAATGGTGTGCGAAGATCAGCAGGCATATAAGAAGAGAATAATTGCGTGGAGATGTGGTTCCAATCCTGGAACCCTTAGCATGCAATATTGATTTCCTTGAAAAATGATGCAAAGTCAAAGTCCCTTTGTGGCAACGTATATACGATAGCTTTCCTTTTCTCCAGAAAAACTCTGCCTAACCACAATTTTCTTGTTGGTTTCACCACGAGGCTGTTTGCCCATCTCTCTTGTGAGATCGATCATGTCTTACATTTTTTTCTGCATTATTTCATAAAATAAAGAGACGGCTTTTTCCTAAAAAAAAAAAAAAAAAACAAAAACACAAAAAACCCAAACAACAACTGTTTTGAGCAGTGGAAAAAATATCTCAATAGATATATTGCATCAAACGGAGAGTACTTTGAAGATGACTGAAGTTTAAATGTAACAATAAATATACTTTTAAAAATAAATAAGTTCTGGGATTTTTGGGTCCCCCCCCTCATATATCACAACAATTTTTTGTGCTCATGACAACTAAGTCATTTTTGACCTGATGTTCATCTTTAAAATAAAAAAAGAAAGATCAGAAATAGGGCTTAACTGAACAATTGCAACCTTCAAATAAATGTGTTTGTAAATGTCTTCAGATTTATATCTGCAGTGAAACTGAAGAATTTTTGATGTTCTTCCTCTCTAAAAATTATTAGTGTTGAAATATATATTTGTTTGCCAATCTCACTATACATAATGGCATCTTAGCTAAAATGACTAATAATTCTACAATGGAGAATGCTCTTGAACAAGAAAGAAACATTCCTTTCTTTGTTATTTTCGCCAAGAGCATGTGCCAACTCAGCCAAATCATTAATAAACTCCACCTGAGACTAGGTGCAGTGGCTCACGCCTATAATCCCAGCACTTTGGGAAGCCGAGGTGAGAGGATCGCCTGAACCCACGGGTTTGAGGCCAGCCCAGGAAACTTGGCGAGATCTCACCTCTATAATAAACCAAGAAATTAGTTGGGTGTGGTGGCATGTGCCCGTAGTTCCAGTTACTTGGAAGGCTGGGGAGGAAGGAAGGATCACCAGAGCCCAGCAGGTCGAGGCTGCGGTGGCCTGGATCATACCACTGCACTCCAGCTTGGATAACAGATTGAGAGGCCAATTCAAAAAAACAAAAACAAACAAAAAACTCCACCTGAAAATGGTTCTGCATGGGCTCTATTAAAAAAAAAAAAGTAGCCGGACATGGTGGTGTGCATCTGTAGTTCCAGCAACATGGAAGGCTGAGGTGGAAGGATTGACTGAGCACCGCAGGTTGATGCTGCGATGGCTGTGAGTGTGCCACTGCACTCCAGTCTAGGCGACAGAGTGGGACTCCAACTCAAAAAAACAAAAACAAAAACAAAAAAACCCGACTTATTTGGACAAATCTCATTGAAATTATTGGACTTAATGACTTCATTTACTGTCAACTATGGAGAGACCTGAAGGTCACCTGGGGTAACCTCAGCTTCCCCATTAGATTGCAATTCCCAGGGGACCACAGAACACATCCACAATGCTCACTGTATCCTAGCACAGTGCCTGGCATGTGATGTTCATTAAGTATTGTTAAGTAATATGGTAGAATGACTAACAATAATTTGACTGGGGGAGATTTGTATTTAAAAGGAGGATCTTTAAAATACGAATTAATCTTTTTTTTGTAGAGATATGCCAAAAATATTTTTGAGGAGAGGTCCTTCTCTTAGCAGCTGTAATTTTCCAGTTATTCACAACCAAGGCAAAGTTATTTCTTCCAATCACAAGATGAGATTCCTTAAGAGTCTGGCTTACCGTGACTGGGTTTGCTCCTATATAGGGGAAGAGTTGTCCCCAAACTTGGGCACTTCTGGTACAGTAAATTTTCTGACAGGGATCTTTTATTATGTCCTATTCCAATAGTGATTATTACAGAATTGGTTGATTTAAAGAATTCAGATTGCAAAAGAAAAGTGAAGGAAGGGTGCATCAGACGAGAAGAAGAGAACTGTCTAATCACCTAAGGGAAAAATTCTCCACTAAAAGGAGAATACAAAATTTATCTATATGTTATTTATAGGAGACACACTTAAAACAATGACACAAAACAGTTGAGAGTAAA